GGCTCCTCTGTGCCATTTCTGTACAGCCCCTTTCACTACGTTTGGCCACTGTGTATCTGAAATTGTGCATGCACACAGAAGCTTACACAGTACAGAACAAACTTGGTTTGTCTCCAAGGTGCTCTGGACAATTTTTTTATTTCAGATGCGTCAGACCAACACGGCTACCCTAGTTGAATCATTTATTGAAATAGTTTTTGTGTTCTCTAATGAAAATGTTGGAATATACTATTTTAGTTTAAAATTGCTTGTTGCATAAAATCTCAAAGTAACTGAAAAGCTTTAAAGGAACTAAAAGAAAGACCTGTTATTTCTCTCTGAAACCCTCGTCATAGGGGGCTGCCCCTCACTCGTGCTACAGGGCTGGGCAAAGGGTGGTGGAGACCACTGGTTCCTTCAGATTCCTCCTCATTTTGTGGCTCTTTGTCTCCCGACCACTGAGCAGAACTGCCTGTGTTGTTTAGCCAGATGCCAACAACAGAGGCAGCCTTGCTCTGAGCTCTTGTGGTTTTGAACTGGGAGGGGAGGGTCTTAGAAGTGGGTCCCATCTGATCTTGCCTGAAAGGAAACCCAGCCGGAGGGAGGTAGCAGAGTTGACACCGCGATCAAGGCATATGTAATTCAAGCAAAACTCATCTTGCAAGTTTACGCTTCCTTGAACTTTGTTTTCCACAGTGGATCTCCCTCAGCAGGTGGTAGATTCTACTTCCTTGGAGATTTGTTAGCAGAGGTTGTTTGGCCATCTGCCATGGATGCTGCAAGTCGAGATGCCAGCATCGCAGGGGGGTTGGACCCTCAGAGTCCTGTCTATGGTTTTTATTTAGTTCCCTAGTTGTTTTGAAGATGAGTCACTGGCCAAACTCAAGCGAGCTTCTTCCTCCTTGAGGGTGAAGTTGTCCAAAGTGCATTCAAGACAATTTTCACAGGGTCCTCCAGTACCACCTCTTTCTCTACGAACCCACCCGGACCCTGAGATCATCTTCTGAGGCCCTCCTTCCTGTACCACCTCCTTTATATCCTCTCCCCTTTTCAACTCTCTGATTCTTAGGCTCCCTCTGCTCTGCCTCCGCTGTGTTTAAGGGCAGGTCTACAACTCCCCAAAGCCTGATAAACTTTGGATCTCCTATTTATTTATTTTTTTTCCAAAAAAAAATTACTTTTACCATAAAATCTTGACATTTTATCCCTTACAAGTAATACTATTTTAAAAGACACTATGTTCTACTTTTAACCCTACAGCCTATATCCACTTCCAAAACTATACTAAGATTTAAATATTAGCATTTTTTTTTCAAATAGTTCTTTAAACTTCTTCCAATCTTCTTCCACCATCTCTTCTCTCTGGTCTCGTAGTCTCCCAGTCAGTTCGGCAAGTTCCATCCAGGTGTGTGTGTGTGTGTGTGTTCTCCTCCTGGGCAGGCCAACTCTGGATATGATGCTGAAGCCTCTGCTCTGTTCCCTGCCTCCCCTCCATCCTCCCCCCAAGTCTTTGTTAGTTTGTTACTGTGGACAACTAGTGTTAGTTAACTATTGTTAGTTGTTACTTGTGGATGCGGGTGGCGCTGTGGGTAAAACCTCAGCGCCTAGGACTTGCCGATCGCTTGGTCAGCGGTTCGAATCCCCACGGCGGGGGTGTGCTCTTGTCGTTCGGTCCCAGCACCTGCCAACCTAGCAGTTCGAAAGCAACCCCCGGGTGCAAGTAGATAAATAGGGACTGCTTACCAGCGGGAAGGTAAACGGCGTTCCGTGTGCTGCGCTGGCTCGCCAGAGCAGGGTTGTCACGCTGGCCACGTGACCTGGAAGTGTCTGCGGACAGCGCTGGCTCCCGGCCTCTAGAGTGAGATGAGCGCACAACCCTAGAGTCTGGCAAGACTGGCCCGTACGGGCAGGGGGTACCTTTACCTTTACCTTTTACTGTGGAGACTCATTAGGCCCCCTGGTGGCCAGAGCTGGTACAGCCTGTGGGAAAAGTGAGCCCTTTTGGGGATAAGGTTCTTCCTTTGCCACGCTCTGTCCCCCTGCCTGTGTTCGATCTCGTGAAGGGGCAAGTGTGGGGAAAGGGGATGTGGGGCCACATGTTGAGACCTGACCCCAAAGTTGCATTTGCCCTCCTGCCCCTGCTATCACTGTGGAGCCTTCGTTCTCAGTGCGGAACCCGCTCTGTGGGTGGCAGCCTCAGACCATTGAAAGATTGAAACATCGAACCATTGAAACACCGATTCTCAAAAGGGGATCCAGGAAGGATCTTGGAAATTACAGGCCAATAAACTTGACATCTGTCCCTGGAAAACTGGTGGAAACTCCCAACTTGAATGCGTTTAACTTGAATGATTTCAGCTTCTGCTGTTGACATCTGGCCTGTTGGAATCACACCAATTATATATGCAGAAGGCAGAGAGCTCTTTTTGTGCAAGGTTTTTCACGAGATCTTGTGGGGCTGTCCTGAGCTCCCATAAGATCTTTCCAAAGCCTCCCAGAGCCCAGGAAGCAATAGCCAGGTCAGACCTGTTCAGTGCATGGCTCCAGAAGGTCAGATGTGGGGGGGGGGCCAAGGGAGTGGCTGAACTAGGCCCGTTTCTGCAGATATGAGCTATCCCAGAAAAGAAGAACAGCTGCTTCAGGCCAGGGGCCAGCCTAGTCCAGCACCCCTTTCTCACAGTGGCCTCCCAGATGAATGGGATGCTGAACTAAATGGGCCATTGGTCAGATCCTGCAAGCTCTTCTTTGTGTACATTACACTATGTGAGATAATATTTTTCATATTTAATATTCACTTCTCTTCCTCCATGTACTGGTAATTCAAGGCAGCACATGAGAGGGAGGGACATAGGGCAGAGGGGGCAGCACTTGACATCTCGGGGGGGGGGGCTGGGAAAGAGACCCCTTCCTTAGTCCCTGGGGAGCCACTCCCAGTCAGGGCAGACAAGTCTGAGCTACCTGGACCAGTGTTCTGACCCAGGAGGAGACAGCTTCCTGGTCTCCCAATATGTGGATTTTGCTTTGTCTGGTCTCCCCTCCATCCACTTCCCAGACCTGAGCCTGCTTAGCTTCCGTTCGGTGCCTGCATCCTGAGCCTTCAGACCATGTTGTGAGAGCTCTCATCAGCCTGGCGCTTGCAAGTGGGGGGCAATTCCTGTCCCCTTGGCAAAAGGGGAGGGGCTGGCCTCTCTCTCCCTCACATGGAGCCTCAGCAGAGACATGCAGAGATTTAGTGCTGCCTGGCAGAGCTTTTTCTCGCCCTCTGCTCCATGGGCTATTGTTGTGGTTACTTGTATTTATATTCTCTCCCCTGTTCAACTCTCTGATTCTTAGGCTGCCTCTGCTCTGCCTCCTCTATGTTTAAGGGCAGGTCTACAAACTCCCCCAAACCCTGCTGAACTTTGGATCTCCTAATTTGGGGCTGCTGACTGTGATACAGCAGGATTAGGCTGCTGCCTTCATCTGCAGGACCCCTAACTCTCTGCCCCCTTTTCTCTTCCTTTCCAGGCTCCACTTCTCACTCCCTGCGCTACTTCTACACAGCCGTGTCTGAGCCTGGCCAGGGGCTGCCCCAGTTCATTGATGTGGGGTACGTGGATGACCAGCAAATTATTCAGTATGACAGTGACACTAAGGAATATCTTCCTCGCGTCCCCTGGATGAGGAAGGCAGAAAAGGAGGATCCTCAGTACTGGCACAAGCAGACTCAGATCGCTCAGGGCAATCAGCTGGCATTCAGGGTGAGTCTGCAGAATCTGCAGAATCGCTACAACCAGAGCAGAGGTGAGTGGAAGTCACACCTCCCCCCCCCCATAATGTTTCCTCCAAGGGCCAGAATTGCAGGGAGGGGGCTGCTGGGAAGAAAGGAAATGGAGGGTGGGGGTCTCCACCAGGGCAGAGGCATCTCCCCTTCCCTTAATGAAGGTCTTAATGGGGGCAGGGATGGGGTGGGGGGGGGACAGAGAATGAGACTTGGAGGGGAGAGACCCCCCCCAGTATGACACTCTGTTTTTTAAACTTCCTTCTGAAATGAGTCAAACGATGTATGAGACGTTAGTTGTGTGAAAGGAGCCAGCATGCTGGAAGAGTGGGGGGAGGCAGTTGTGTTTAGCCCCAAAGTTGAGTGACTCCCCCCTCCAATTGCAATTTTGGAGCAGAACTTCAGAAGTGGGAGCCTCTGCTGGGTCTGGAGGGAGATCTCTATGTGATTTTGCACCTTTACCTTCCAGGCTTCTCCACTTCCTCACTTCCTAAGCAGGCTCCCTGCTTCAGGACTTTAGCCCTGCCCCTAACAGCACCACAGGTGTCCCAGCACTTTAAACAAAGTGCTAGAAAGGTGGGTGAGATTGACGTTGGGCTATGCTATGATGCCAGCTTCAGCCTCCTGCTCCTTTTGGCCCATGGGGACAACCCTGATCAGGATCTGGCCCTGAAGCCAAAGAGATTCCCCACCTGGGACACAGAATACTGGAGGTGGAAGGAGCCTTGCCAAAGGGGTCAGCCTGAGTGTGTCCAGAGCCCTCTGGGGCCTTCGTTGGCCTTGTCAGGCTTGCAAGGAAGAAACCCAGGGGGTCAGCTGAGACCAAGCCAGCGCTGCAATGGGCAGGTCTGCTTTTCTTGCAGTGGGATCAGGCCTGGCCTTGCCTTGCAGGCTTCCTCTTGGGCTCCTGGGAATTCTGCTTCTCCCCCTTTTAAAAATGGGGATTGGGCCCCTCCTGAGCACCTGCACCTATCCATGGAAAATGCCCCATAAATGTCACCAAGGGGCGCCTCTCGGTTCCTGATGCAGATCATTTCTTAGCTCAGAAAATCCCAAACAAATGAGATGGCCACTTTAAAGGTGCCACGGACAGCCCTGGAAATGTTATCTGATTCTATTTAAAAACAGTGTTGAAGGTATAGGTGTATCGTGATTGATCCCACTTACCATCTTGAGGAAACGGGAGGGGAGTGAGCTTCATCTATAAATAAGGGAGAAAGCAATTTATGCTGAAGAAGCAATGAGACAAAGCAACTTCCCTCCAAGCAAAAGCTCCATATCCAGACCAGCTGGTGGGGTTTGTGGTTTGGTTTGGTTTATTTTTGTAGGCCAACCACAAACCATTGTTTGAGTGCATAAAAAGAACTATATCACCTTGGGACATGGCATTGTAGAAGATACTACTGCTATTATTATTATTATTATTATTATTATTATTATTATTATTATTTATGTTGAGTAGTTCTAGAGGGAGGACTATAAAGTAGTAGCACTGTTACAATCCTTCTACTTGCCAGAGGGAGCAATCTCCCTTCTCCTCCCCCTGCAGACCTTTCTGGGGCTTCTCCCGACCTCCACTAAGCTGATTTTTGGGTAGCACATGGGAAGGAGATGGGGAGAAAGCCCCAGTTGCGTGAGTGAGACTTGTTCCTTCTGGCTCCCGCTAGACTAACTGTGTTAGCTGAATCCAGCCCAGAAAAGCAGGATTTCCTTCAAGAGAAACTGCTCTCATCCAGGGCTTTATATTCCCCAACTCAATTCAGCTGTGAGCCAAAGGCTCCTGAGGTGGAAGAGGAAGCCAGAATTAAAGAGAGGGCAGCCTGGTGTCCTCTGGGACAGCCTCTCCTCCATTGCTGAGCTCCCTCAGGCTACCCAGAACCACAAAGAGCTGTTAGGAAAACATTCTTTAAGAAACAGATAAAGGTTCCTGGAAGCTTTCAAGAGGGTTCCAGAATTTTCTTTAGCGTGTATGAGTGGCTCTCTAGGCTTGATTGGTGTCAGCTGGAGGTGCAAATTAAGGGAGGCAGTTGCAGGCTGGTGCCAAAAATTCAGTATTTATTGAAAGTGAGAGCTATGGCAGGTGGTTGACATTCGTAGTACCCACAGGGTTGCATCCAATACTATTATATTTAGAGTAGACCCATTGAAATCAGTGCATTAAAAACAGAAATGCCAAATCACTTCAGTGGGTCTACTCTGAGTAGGAATAGCATGACATTGCAACCCCAGATCTTTGATGATGAATCCAGTCCAAGTGCCCCCTCTGAAAAGTGAGCTGTGAGGAAACTGCTCTGTCTGAATGTCCGGCTCCCCAGGCTGCCTTTGGCTGAGATACTGGCAGACGGTTCCTGGCATGAGCCCAAGTGCATGCTGTGCCCCTTCTTTCCCCTGTGCCCCCAGGAGACCCTTGAGGCCTCACTTCCAAGTTCTCTTGCCTGGGAGCCACAGGACACAGACTCCTAGTCTCTCCTCCTCTCTCCTGCACTTCTGGATGCGGCCCTTGCAGGAGCCGAGGGAGGTGGGGCAGGGAAGGGGCACTCAGCTCTGGGGGCAAAGAGCAGCCAAGCAAGGTCTGTCCTCCAGCTCTGTCCTCTCCCCAGGAAAGCTCCCAGCTCTTCACGGCATAGACTGCCCTGATGGTGCTGAGCATTAAAGGGAAGAGGCATGGCCTTTTGAAAAGCAACAAGTTGGCTTAACATCAGCATTTAATTATTTTCACCAGGAGCAAAGAATTTAGTATATAGCCAAAGTGTGTTTAGGCACACATTTACAAACATCTGTTTGTTCCATCATTTATATCTTTATATTTCACTCCATGAGCACAGTTACCTTTCAGTTGTCCTTGAACCTGGGTTCAAATCCCTCAAATGCATCACTTGCTTAATATTATACAGTGGTACCTTGGTTCTCAAACTTAATTCGTTCTGGAAGTCCTTTCCAAAACCAAAGCGTTCCAGAACCAAGGTGCACTTTCCATAGAAAGTAATGCAAAACGGATTAATCCGTACCAGACTTTTAAAAGCAACCCCTAAAACAGCAATTTAACACAATTTTACTATCTAACGAGACCATTGGTCCATAAAATGAAAGCAATAATCAATGTACTGTACTATAAAATAAAATAAAATAAAATAAATAAGACAGTATTGTAGATGATAAAAATTGAAAGTATTATTTTTTCCTTACCTGCACTGATGATAGTCGTTGTTTGGAGGGGGGGCTTTTATCCATTTCCGCAGTCACACAGTCAATAAATCGTATCGGTAGCTGAACTGGGTTCCACACAGTAACGAAAACAAATTAACCGAAAAAGCCACAAAAACGCAAAATAAATACAGTCATGCCTCTTCTTGCGAACGCTTCATGTTGCATTTTTTCAGGTTAAGAACACAGCAAACCTGGAAGTATTTACACATGCGCAGAAGCGCCACTCTGGTTACGGACATTTCGGGGTGCGAAGGGCACCCCGGAACGGATCGTGTCCGCAACCAGAGGTACCACTGTAGCAAAAACAAAAGCGCCAAATACAGTTGTACCTTGGTTCTTGAACTTAATCCATTCCAGAAGTCCGTTTGACTTCCGAAATGTTCGAAAACCAAGGCGCAGCTTCTGATTGGTGCAGGCGCCCCGCAAACAGTAGCCGACAGCTGCATTGGATGTTCGGCTTCCGAAAAACATTTAAAAACCGGAACACTTACTTCTGGGTTTTTGGCGTTTGGGAACCAAGCCGTTTGAGAACAAAAGTACCACTGCATATCACAGCCTTTCATTTAGAAACTGCAAAAAAGATTTAACATGGGGGAAAAGATGGTGATTGCGATACAGCATTGGTGAGAAAACCTCCTTAAAATCTCTAATTGCTACCCACATAAACTAAATAAGCGAATTACTTGATCTGAAGACTGCAGGTTAATCCAGAGCGAGGAGTTTACATTCAGCCCATACTCAGACTTACGGTTGTCCGAAGTGAGGCCTCCCTGGGTTTTCCATGTTTGGGAACCAAGGCACCAGTGTACAAAAGTACTTGTATTGCAGGGCAGGGGGGACACAATAATGGAAAGTTCTACGGAAGAAGACTCTGCAGTGGCAGGCACAGATGTCTTCCCTCCACCCCCATGCCTGTTATTTGTGGCACAAAACAAGGGTGCCAGTTGACGCTTTGCTCTCTCCCTGGCACCGCTGGCATTGGCTTTGTGGCAAAGTAGTAATAGGGAGGGATCCTGGAAGAGAGCAAAGAGCTGGGAATCCAGTTGGGAATCCAGCCGTGGCACTGCCAATTTTGAAATTGGGGGGGGGGGGAGTTTCCCTGAAACTTTGATGACTCTGTGCTCATGTGCCTTAATACCTGTCCCAGGCAGTAGCTGCATTATTGAGGTGCCAATATGCCCCCCCAGTCTGCTGCAATCATGACCCCAGAATAAGCACAGCTATGAGTCCCCCCCCCCCATGAAACTTCTTCCCTCTGCCTCCTCGTCCTCCCACTGCCCTGGTGAACTGGGGGTGGGGGACGGCCGGGGTCTGCAGTGCTGGAGACGACAGGAAGGAAGGATGGTGTCCCTATTCCACATTCCATAGGGAGATGGGGGTTCCCACAGGGATGCCGGCTGTCAGCCCCCCTTTCTCCTTGCAGCCTTTCAGAATCCATCAGGTTGTCTGGACTGCTCACTCCACCTTCTGGGGGGCTGATAGAGAACGGGGCCCCACATCTGGCAGTTGCTCTTCTTAAAACCTGCCTTACCCCATGGAACTGACTGCCAGAAAAGAGTCCCTCAACAAGAGAGTTCAGAAATGGGCTAGTCCTGGTATGTGGGCAGCCAGGATCACAAACAGATTTTATTTTATTTTAATTTCCAATTGTAAGTGCTCAGTCCTCTGCATGTTTACTTGGAAGTAAGTCCAACCCCATTCAGTGTGACTTACCTCCACCTGGAAGCCAATTTTCCTGTCTTGTTGTAAGCCTCCATTATTTGATAATAATGGAGCCAATCTCGTACTTTAGGTTTCAGTTTCTCATGACTCTGTTATTTCAATTTGTCTCCATCTTGACTTTCCTCCATTTAGGGAAAAGGTCCTTGATACATAGAAGCTGAGGGGAGAGAGATGGGGGGAAGAGGAGACCTTCTCTCTTGAAAGGGCCCCCCATGTGTGGGTGTCCCCCTTTCTAGGGGGGACGGGGGGGGCAGCTGAGGCGTCCCTCCAAAAGGGGCAAGATCCAGAGGAGCAGAGCTGGGGGTTAAAACCCTGCAAGGGATGCTCTTGTTGAACAGGAAGGGAAACCCCACCCCTCCCCCGCCTCCAGGGAGTTGGGAGAATCCACTAGGAATTTGGGGGGGGGGGGAGAAAGTGTGTGGTGATGAGAGGGAGGGGGGCAATTAAAGGGGGGCTTGTAGTGTTTGCCTCAGTGAACGTGATATGTGGATGAGCCTTCAGAAAGATACAATGCTGGTTGATTTTTCTCCCCTCTGACTGCTGCCTCTTCCCTGAGTCTCAGGCAAATAAATCTTTTTTCCTGGGCTCTTTTGCTGATGGGGGAGGGGCTGCTGTGACCCCCCCTGACCTCCTGGGCCTCTTCTGGTCCTTCCAGGGATCCACACCTATCAGCTGATGTACGGCTGTGAGCTGAGTTCAGACGGGCGCAAAGGAGGGCATCACCAGTACAGCTACGACGGGAGAGACTTCATTGCCTTTGACAAGGAGACCCTCACCTGGACGGCAGCTGATACAGGGGCCCAAGTGACCAAGAGGAAGTGGGATCCTGACTTGGCCTGGAACCAGGGCAGAAAGGCCTACCTGGAGGAGATTTGCATTGAGTGGCTGCAGAGATACCTGGAGTACGGGAATGAGACTCTTCTGAGGACAGGTGAGAGGGGGGAGGGGAGGGGGGTTCAGTGGGGCAGTTTCCCTACAAATTCCCCTCCCCCCCCCTTAACAGTCTTCCTTTCTGGACCAAACAGCAAACACTTTTCTTGGTGGGGGAGGCAGAAATAAGTTTGGGAGGAGAAAAGGGGTCACTTCAGAGTATGATTGGGGGGGGGAGATGCTTATAAACAGCCCCCCATGCCCCTTTGGCTAGGATAAGGGATGGCAAAAGACAAGTGGGGGAGGGGGCAGAAAGAAACAGCAGGGAAGGGGCCAGAAAAGCAAAAGGCATTTTAAATTAAGTAAAAAAATAAAATTGAAATGGACAGATTTGAGGCGGGATACAGAAAAACCTTTTGCCTTTACACTTGGGTAGGGGAAAGTGGGGCAGATTGATGCAGAAAAATTCCATCTCATATTTTATGTACCAAAATGAGTCAAATAATAAAAAATTGCTTTATGCATGGCATAACTAATCAATATTATAATAGCAATCAAAAGAACCATTAAGGTTAGAAGATAATGAGAATATAATGACTTGAGTAAAAAATGGGTTTTGTATCATTCTGCCCACCTACGGGGCACTTTGATACAAAGCATAAATTGTATGAGACTGGTAATTATTTACAAAAAATTAATTAAAAAAACAATTTTTTATTGTGAGAGATCATAATCAGCCCTTTAGAAAGTATAAGATCTCACATTAGGTAGTCAAAAAATAGTAATTTAAATAAAATGCTTATAATTTAAACAAAATGCTTATTGCACATTATATCCACTGAAGTTAAAAGAAAAAGTATAGAGATGATGTTTGAGATGTGTCCTTTGAGAAATTTGGTTTTGGCAAAACAGCATCCTTGAAATCAACGCTTGCCTTATCTTCTACATTGGGGAAGACAAACATACAAGATCCTGGATATTTCCTCAGATATGACACTTGATAATCGGTCATATTATATTTAGAAATGACTTTGGCCACATAGTCAACAACAGTTTTTTTCTTTTCAAATTTCATAGGTAGGAAATTAGTTTAGAGATTTCATGCAAACTTGTATATTGGGGCACTATTGTACACGAGCGGGGCACTTTTAGAGTGTATCAAAGTGCCCCAATGGACATTTTCAAAAAACTAACAATTTCTAATAAAACCACTGAACTTATTTAAAAAATCACGTGTAATCCTGATTACTGAGTGGGATAATTTACCTTTGGTATTTTTAAATCTTAACTATAAACAATGAAAAACAGCATTGGAACACTTTTACATTTCACGTAATTTTTTAGTTGGCCCCGCTAAAAAGTATTTAAAAATTAATTAATTAACTTTTTTTAAAATAGAAAATGTGGCCCCCTCACTAAGTCTGTAGGTTAGCCACTCGTGGCCTAGAAGCAGAAATCCTGCACATGGTGAGAGAGTATGGAAATTCCCTCTTCTACCTTCTAATATTTTTTTATTTGTGAGGAATTTTCCTTTTTTCCATGGGGAACATTCAGAAGTATCATCTTCCCCAACCCCGTGCCTTGAAATGGTACAGTCCACTCTTCTGCCTTCAAGAATCTGGCACAGTGTTTTGACTGGCTTTCTTCCTGTCTCTCTCTGTTAGCTTTGCTCATATTAACATAAATTTAAAATGAAATAATTCTAGCACCCTCCGTTTTTGAGGACTGACACATATGTATTAGCCGTGCTTAGAGAGATCTGAGCAAATTCATCTATGGGGGCCTGGTGATAATTCACCCCAGAGACACTGAGCATATTTCTTGAGGTTGAGGATATCACCCCAAAAGCCACATTGAAGCATTTTCAAGGGTGACAACGTGAAAAGGAGGCTGGGAATCATCCTCTTTGGGACGGAGGTTCTGCTGAGGACAGGTGAGGGGGTGGGTGGGGTGGGAGGTCTTGTTTGGGGTTTCTGTGGGGAAAGGGCTTGACCTTCCTTCCTTCCTTCCTGCTCCCCCCAGCAGAGTCACATCCCCTCCCAGACCTGAGTTTCCAGTCCAGGCACTGCAAAGTGGGTGGGATCCTGGAACAGCCCCTTCAGGCAACAGCTACCCAGGGAGCCAGTTTTTGAACAAGGGTTACATTCTGAGGATTGTGCATAAAGCCAACATTGTGTATAGTCAAAACACATTGGATTCAAGGGCGATTGGGTTGCCAAAGTCCATCTTCCCCAGACACCCACCTCCTCTTTTTGGTTTTTACAATATTTTTTACCAAGTCTGTAAAGCTGTATGTGCACAAGTTAAATGTGCGCAAGTTGCTGGCTTACTGGGCCTCCTGGTCTGCCCTTTCCACTCCAGGGGAGGCTGCCGTGGAGAAGGAAGATGGGCCCTTTCCAACCTCAAGGGACCCTTTCAGGGCAGGCGGGAGAACTAGAAAGGAGCTCTGTCTTTCCCAGGGCTCTTGGCTTTGTTCACTAACTATGGAGCTGGAAAGTCCCAGAGAGCAGTGAGTCCAGCATTTCTTCCCCCTCAAGAGAGGAACCAGGATCAGCCTGAGCTGCCCTCAGTTCATGACTTGCAACTTCGAAGGATCTGAATGAATCCCACCATTGGGGACCTGGTGAAATTTGCCCCTCAACCTAGAGGCAGTTCCCTGGGACAATCTTGGAACCACAAGTTGTCATGTTTGAGTAGTGTTAGAGCTTTGCAAGATGACAAATTAATTTGTACCAATCTTTCCTCCCAAAGGAATCCGCTTTGGCAAACAAAGGATAAAACATCTAAAAATAGTTCCAGCATAGACACTAACTGGGGAAGATGCCAAGGGAGGTGGAGGAAATCCCATTTATTCACAGTTATTTTTAATTTATGCAGATGTGAGTTTCTGACTAGGTTGCCCCTTGGGTCCCTGCTCCTCTGCTCTTGAAAAATGCAGGATTCCTTCAGGCTCCCGTTGTGGATGTCTCTCTGTTGACCCCAATGCGGCCCTTTTTGCAGAGGCTCCGGTGGTGAAGGTGACCAGGAAGGCAGACTATGACGGCCTGGAGACCCTCGTTTGCCAAGTCCACGGCTTCTACCCCCAGGAGATTGAGGCCAACTGGGTGAAGGACGGGAAGGTCTGGCAGGAGGGCACCCTCCGAGGATTGGTCGCCCCCAACTCGGACGGGACCTACTATCTCTTGCTCAGTGTCCAGATCGACCCCGAGGAGAGGGAGCGCTTCCGGTGCCGCGTGGAGCATGACAGCCTGGAGAAGCCTCTGGACGTGGCCTGGGAGAAGGAGCCTGGTGAGAGACAGGGAGGGGAAGGGGGTGAGCTCTGGGAGGGGGATTTCCACCCAACTCCTCCCTTCAGCAGAAGCACAGGTCAGATGGGAAACCCCAGTTGGATCCTGTCTTTGGAGGGAAGCAACTGAATCGGAATCTGTAGATGCCTTTTCTGACAAGTGTCTCATTGGCCTTAAACTCAAATTGGATGTTATAGGTAAAAACTGTTATAGGTAAAAAACCTTCTTGCCTTTAAGCCTAAGTAGTTGTGATGTCAAAGAATGTGGGCACATATTTTACTTCTTCAAAATCAAACTTACAATCACTACAACTGAAAAAGGGGCAATGAACTTAAAAGAGGGAGTCCCAGACTGACTGTACTTCACAGTGAAAAAGATTCTCACTCGCTCCTCCTCACAACTGTGACAAAAACTGATATTCATACCTACTCAGCCCAAACACCCGCACACCGCTGGGAAGAGCAAGAAGGGTTTTTTAATAGCAAAGCTCATCCCACAGACACACTGCCAGGAAACCTGTGCCTGCAGGAACCAAAGCAGAATGTCTAAGAGCAAGACTCCCTTTTTCCCAGCAGGAGCCCATGAACGCACATCCCCACCCACACCCCAGACTCTCCTTCTCACAGGCAGGCTAGTGAGGATTATGGAAGCGGCCTCTGAGCCAAAGACTCACACAGGGAGGGGAGAGGGGACCAGGGCTCACTCACTAGCGCTACGGACTTCAGAGATTCTACACAAACAAAAAACCTGGACATTTTGTGTCATTGCAAAAATTGGTCTGGACAGACATTTTAAGTCTGAAAAAGAGGGTGTGTCCAGGAAAAACCGGACATATGGCAACCCTACACAAGATGCTTCTTCCTAAGGGTTTGTGTCTTCCCTGAAGGCCTGTAATGCTGGGCTCTGGGGGGTCTCAGAGGGGAGGGAATCCCTTCCTCTCAGGGTCCTTACAGAGATGGCTGAAGCGCATGAGCAGGAGGAGACCTGCTTTTAAGTCTTGACTCTGTGATGATACAGGTGTGCCTGTCAACTGTCTTCCTTAAATGAATTGGTTATTTTGAAGACCTCTAATGCTGGACTCTGGTGGAAAATAAACTCCCTTGTATTGGGGCCACTACAGAGAGGACCTTGGCCTGTCAGGAGAGAGAGAGAGGGCCTGCCTGGCACACGTAAAATCCTCCTGGGCTCATAGCTCAGCACCTCCACTCCAATCTCCTGCTTCAGGCCTTGGGGAGCTGCTGCTGCCAGTCTGAATAAAAATGTCTCTTGTCCCCTTTTAGTCAACCTGGGGCTCATTGTGGGAGCCATTCTGGGTGTCATGGCTGCCATCCTGCTGGTCTCTGGGATCATCTACTTCTTCATCCGCAGTAAGTAAACCCTGGATGCGTTTGCTGCCTCTCCTGTGTCCTTCTGTCTTGGCCTCCGACTGGGAATGTGCTGGTGGAACTTCCTGGAAACTGCCCCTTGAATCCCTACAGAGACCCCTCCCCACAAAACACCCTTTGAACATGAACCAAAAGTCATAGTGGTTGTTGCTTTGTGCTCACTCTGTGCTCAAGAAATTCACTTTCCACCTGACGTTCTAATCAGTCCTAAGCCTTCAATCCTGTGAACACTTAGCAGGGAGCCTTCCTTGCGTATCTTTAGGCGCCAGGCAAAAACGTTTCTCTCGAACCAGGCCTTGAGCTTTTTAAATGTGAGTTACAGGTTTGTTTTTGTTTTATTATGTATTTTGTGCTCTCATTTTGTATTTTTATTTGGAGAATCACCAAATAATAATCCGAAAATGAATGAAGGGACTGGATAATGTTTCCTTCCAGCCTCTTGGAATTTGTCTACAGCCTGGTTTCCCAGGTTGATCTTTTAAATTTAATTTTCTCAATTTGTTTCTAATTCTGTGTAACATGAGTTCCTTGAAAAGCTCCCCTTCTGGGCTCCCCTTCCTTGGAGGTGTTTGGAAGAAACAAGAGGAGCATCTGCTGAGAAGGTTTCAGCCTCTGAGAGCCAGATTGTCAAAATGTAATTGTGTGGCCTCTGGAGGTCCCTTCCAGCTCTGATCTTCTGCTTTTGTCTCTACAGGGAAACGGAGTGAGAAATCAGCCTACAAAGCAGCCTCAAGTGAGTGACTCCTCCCTTCTCTCTGACATGTTTCCCCCCAATATGGAGCAGGAACAGGTTACAAACAGACAAAACTAAACCTGGTGGTGGCCTAGTCCTGAAGCCCAAGACCCTGATGGGAAGCTTCAGCCTGTCTGCTCAGCCTGTCTGTGGACAGCAAGGGGTCCCTCAGGGCCAGGAAAAGGTTGCAGAGAGACTGTCGGCTGAGGGAGGGGCTCCAAGAAGGAGCAGGAGGAAGAGCCGAGGGTGGGGGGAGAGAGGGGTCTCTGGTGGTTTAATCTACTAGAACCTGAAGCTTAAGATTTGGTTGGGTGGCTCAAGTCTGTGGGTGTTAGGAACCCACCGCTGCTCCCTCCCCAGCTTCTGCCTTTCTGCCCCCTTCCTGCCCAAATTGCATCCACCCCTGCTCTAGTCCCCCGCTGCCTCCATGCCAAGCTGTGCCCATCTCTCTCTGCCCTCCAGCACCTGCTTCTCCCCCCACTGCTGTCCTTGAGCCCCCTTGCCTCTGGGCTGCCTCTCCCTGAACATCCCCAGATTGAGAGTGATTTGGGATGGGGGTGGAAGGAGGGAGGAGAAGGGCTGGGGGGATGGGATCTCCCTCCCTGGGATCATGACTCCTGTGTTTCCTCCCTTTTGCAGCAAGTGACCAGGGGTCCAACAGCTCTGCCAGCGGTAAGTGGGGGTGCAGGTGGGGGCTCTTGCAGAAGACTCTTTGGGGAACATCCCCAAAATGGGGAAAGGCTTCTGCTTTCCTGTTACCCACCTTGGGAATCATAGTTTGGGTTCTGAATGAGAGTCACATTTTGGGTTCTGGAAGGGATTGACTGCTGTGTGTCCTCCTGGCATTCCCCCAATGCGTGCAACTTGGCTCACTTGCTTGAGCTGCCCTCTGCAGGCATTTGCTCTTCAGGCCCATTTTGGTGGTGCTCCCAGCATATCTCATGTCTGATCTGACATGATGAGGGATGGTGGCTTTCCTTGGGAGGCTGCACTAGATGCCCTTTGGGTTCCCACTAGCTCTGTAATGCTGATGTTGGCTTAACTTTGAAACACTCCTGTTCTTTATTTCTGCAGTTTCATACAAGCCCAGTGTGTGAGATGAGACCAGAAGGAGCCTGCCCAAGTTTGGCTGTGAATTGCAGAGGGCTCAGATCCCCTCCCGTCCTTAAATGCTGTTTCTGATGTTTCTTAATCCTGGTTCTCACCCATCTATTCTGACTTCAGCTGTAACTTGTATTTGAGGATAATCATGTTTTTCGGATGGATTTTGGCCAATTTTTGCTTTGCAACTGATTTTCAGAAATGTTCTTGTATTAATCAGAAATGTGCCAGATATACGCAACTAAAAGCTTTAAAAAGGGATGAGGAGATTGAGCATGACTTGCAGTGATTTTGAAGGTTTCTCTTGGTTCTTTGCTGCTGTGTTTCCCTCTACAATCCCTTCTCCAATCTTGTGTCCCTCGCTTGCCATCCAAATTGAAGGAAAGACAACATTTTGAGAACTGCTTTAGGGGTATTATGTGTGAAATAGCCTACGTTGTTACTGCCTGCCTGCCTCTTGGGACGCCCAGCCTTAGGCTAAACGGATGTAATGTCTGATCCTGCTGACAACAAAGAGGCAGGTCAGGAGCTTCATGGCCAGAGTTTGATCTGAAATAAGGAGCCCCATCTTTTTGATTACAGGCCTTCAGTTCATGAGACTTGTTGCCTGGTCCCCACAGCCTTCTAGGAGGGGAGACCCACTGCGAGTGGGACCACCTGAACTCCTCCAAGTAAACTAGTTTTGTTGCCTTCAATTTGCGTAATTGTTATCTCACACATTCTTGCTTTTTCACCTGTGGTCGGTTGAGGATCATACTTTGCCTCTCTGCGGTTCCCTCCATATGATTCCCGCCATCTTCCTTCCCTTCTCATAGATTGGCATTCCTTCAGGAAACTCTTTCGTAGAAATAAGAATGCAATAACTCTTTTAGACCTCCAGGGGCCACAGGACTATTCTTGCTTAACCCAATGGATTTGCTGCATCTTGCTTTGAAGACACTGGATGTAATTATTATTATTACTCCTGTTTGACTGAAATAAATAAGAGTGCCCCCCCTTCTTCTTTAGTGGTTCTTTCCTTCTTATCACAGGAGTTCCATAGATTTTGATGTTCCTGAGAATATTCAGAGTTTGTAGCCTCTGGCAAAGAGGTGCCAATAATTGGTCTTCCATTGCAAAGTGACTGAAGAACAAGTGTCCAAAGCGAGATGGGGATATAATCTGTGGTTTTGCAGGGGTGCACTTAAGTTACATGAGGCCACTGTGTTGCTGAAGCCAAGAGGGTGTGAAGTCTGCCCAGGGCCTGGATGGGGAACCACCTGGATGCTGCCTTTGGTTCCAGGACGGAAGAAAGGAGGGTTGGGAATATAATAAAAGGAAATGTGCAGATAAGATATCTGATCTGGGGCAGGGGGTGGTGGGAGAAGACCAAAGGCAGAGTTGCCCCAAAAGTCCGCAAACCCAGGAGGAAGTTCTCCCACTGAGATGAAAAGATGCCCAAAATATTTATTTTAAATTTTTATCCCACTCTTCCTCCCAAAGGAGCTCAGGGCAGCAAACATCAAAATGTTAAAAGCAATACCATTTAAAAGATTTGAATTATTAAAAATTAAAATAAGATAATTTTAAACAAATTAAAGCACCCTAAAATGACCCTTCCTGTTAAGAACCTAAGAGGAGCTTCCTGGATGAATCAGACCAATGGCCCATCTGGTCCTGCCTCCTCACAGTGGCTGAGCTGATGCCGCAATGGGAAGCGCACAAGCAAGTCATTGGGACTCTGCCCAGGAGAGATTACCAGCAACCTTGTGTTCAGAAGCATGCTGCCTCCGTTACTCCTTTTGGGGTTGCCATGGACAGAATTACGGCTGGAGAATATCTGGTTTCCAACATCGTGATATACCGCCAGCTAAACATTGCAATATATTGATATATCACAATGTCTGAAATAAGGATGGAGCTATGTAGAGGCGTCAGCTGGCTTCACGGTTTTTTCTGCATTTTCGGATAGCACACACTCTGGGCAGCTCCCAACAGAATATTAACAACACGATAAAATATCAAACATTAAAAACTTTCCTAAACAGGGCTGCCTTCAGATGTCTCCTAAAAGTCAGGTAGTTCTTTATTTCCTTGACATCCGATGGGAGGCGTTCCACAGGGCGGGCACCACCACCGAGAAGGCCCTCTGCCTGGTTCCCTGTAACCTCACTTCTCGCAGGGAGGAAACTGCCAGAAGGCCCTCGGAGCTGGACCTCACTGTCCAGGCGGAACAATGGGGGTGGAGATATATCGCCCAGCCGTAGGCAGCACCTGTCAGCTACCCAACACCTGGGTTAACAGGAATGCCTTTCAGCATCTCCAGAAAGTGAATAAATGGATTTGTCTTTTGGTAATTTTGTTGTAGCTAAAGGTTCTGAGTTCCATCTTTGGCGTCTCCAGTTAGGGCTGAGATGAGGTTTCCTGCCTGTAACCCTGGAGAGCCTCTGCCAGTCAGTGGACAACACTGAGCTAGATGGCCTCACTCTGTACAAGGCAGAGTGTTCTCCCCTTGAAAACAAGACCTTCTCTTGCTGAGGAAACTGGCAGCCATTGGGCAGGCCAATGTGTCCCTCAAGCACTCAGATCTTGTGTAGGTCCAGCCCCGGACTGGTGGAGCTCCCTTTGGCCTCTTGTGTTCCCATACCTTAGAAGAGGCATCATTCTGCAACCCACCAGAGACACAAAATTTCAAACCTCAAAGAGCTATCACATGCACACATTTTATTTTATAAAACACCGCTTTCAGGCCATCATAGTCCTGGACAATCAACAGCAAGAGACCAAAAGTGCCTTAAGATATTTTTACAACATACTCAGAAACACCTAAGACATACGGAACCAAGAGACAGGATTGGGAAAGAAGCCAGACTCCTTATTTAAGCAACTCAAGATGAAATCCTTACCTAGGAGTAAGCCCTATTGAACTCAGTAGGGCTTCTGAGCGGAAGGCTACTTGGAAAGAAGCTTATGGAGCGGGGCTTCAAAAATGGGAGTTTGGGGACAAGACTTTCAAAGTCACAGCTTAAGTTCTCCTGGGGCAAATACTGATACTCCAAACTGCCTGCTATTTAACAGCTGCATAGTGATTACAAGGGGTGCCACACAGTCCTTTTCACACCCCACTTCATTGCTCCCAAAGTGGGGCTCACACCCACTTTTCTTGCTAAGCCAGAGTTTCTGCACTCAGAAAGGATCAGCCAATTAGGTGAGTCTCCCGGTAGCCCCATCATGGCAGGAATTTGGGGCTGTGGCCCAAGGTCCCACTCAGCAGAAGGCACAGAGACCCCCTTCTAAACGCAGTTATGCCACACGCACGACCACCTCGAGAGGGGGACCCCAGAAGACCATTCAGCCTGGGCGGAAGTCACTCAGCCTGGCTCCTTTGCACCAAGCGGTAATAGGGGCCCCTCCGGCTCATCAGCTCAGAGTGAGTCCCCTCCTCCACAACCTCCCCACCCTCCAGGACGACGATCCTGTTCGCGTTTTCCACCGTCTGCATCCGGTGAGCGATCACCAGCACCGCCCTGGCCTGGCCGCTCATCAGTGACTGCTGGATCTGGGGGAAGAAGCCAGAAACCCCCTCTTAGATTTATTTTATTTATTTCTTAGGTTTCTATCCCAACCCTCCTCCAAGAAGCTCAAGGTGACGTATATGGGGCTCTTCCTCACAACCCTGCGAGGTAGCCTAGGCTGAGAGGCAGGGGTGGGCTCAAGGTCCCCCAGTGAGCTTCAAGGCTGAGTGGGGATTTGAACCCGCGTCCCAGTCTAACACACTAACCATTGGCTCTGTGTGTGTGTAAGAGAGAGATTGAGAGAGATGTTTGTAAGCATTATGAATCCTGCTGTTTTCCCACACAAGGATATAGAACTTTGAGTGCTCCACATTTATTATTATTATTAATGCAAGTCCATTTATTCATATTATAAATATCAATAACATAGGCAAAGGTAAAGAACCCCTGGATGGTTAAGTCCAGTCAACGGTGACTATGGGGTTGTGGCGCTCATCTCGCTTCAGGCCGAGGGAGCCGGCGTTTGTCCACAGACAGCTTTCCGGGTCATGTGGCCAGCAGGACTAAACCGCTTCCGGGGCAGCAGAACACCGTGATGGAAACCAGAGTACATGGAAATGCCGTTTACTTTCCCGCCGGAGTGGTACCTATTTATCTACTTGCACTGGCGTGATTTTGAATTACTGGGTTGGCAGGAGCAGGGACCGAGCAATGGGAGCTCACCCCGTCGCGGGGATTCGAACTGCCAACCTTCTGATTGGCAAGTCCAAGAGGCTCAGTGGTTTAGACCACAGTGCCACCCGCATCCCTACAATAATATAAAACCACCACACCCACTCATGGCTAATGCTTCTCATGTCAACCACAATTCCCCCCCCCCGACACTCACGGCAGCTTCGCTCTCCACATCCAGAGCACTTGTGGCCTCATCCAGCACCAAGACCTTGGGGTTCCGGATCAGGGCCCGGGCGATGGCCAGGCGCTGCTTCTGCCCTGCGGACAGCTGGCCTCCCTTCTCCCCGACATCTGCAGGGAGACAGAAATGAGAGAGAAGGGGTGGGAAGAGGGGGGAAACCGCCAGACTAAAGAAAGCCTGTTTGCCAGAGGAGTGGGAGTGGTGGCAGGGGTGCAAAAGGCGAGTTGCAGGTAAAGGAGGATCCCGAACTCCTGGGTTCATTTGATGGGATGCAGTGAGCCGTTGGATGGAGGGGCGGGCGCAGTGACAAGAGGAGCTGAGGCTCAGAGTCTGGAATTCTCACTCGTCACAAGAGACTGGAGCCCCACCAATTTTCCTGGAGGAATTCAGTGGGCCACAGAAATTCATGTTATCTCAGAGAGAGTAAGAATCAGGCCCGCTGCCTTTTCTGGAAGGAGCATGGAGTTTTGCAGAGGCAAAAGGAGACGGGAGGAAAGAGATTTCACCCACCTGCGGCGAACCCTCCTTCCAGCTCATTGATGAAGCCTAAGGCGTTGGCTTCTCTTGCCGCAGCCGCCACCTCTTCCTGGCTGCAATCCTGCACCCCATAGGCGATATTGTCCCGTATGGACCCAGAGAAGAGGACCGGCTCCTGTCCCACTAGCGCCACCTGCAGGCAGAATGAAGTGTGACGACTAGAGAGAAATTGGATTCATTTTGCATTTAAAGCACACTCTACCATATTTGCACCTTCTCAAACAATATAAGAACCGAAACACAGGCGAACCTTCAACATTCACAATTCTCTGAATTTTGCAACCCTGTTTTCCAACTCGAAGCGTTACAAAA